CATCAGTATATTGAAATAACCCAAATCAGCCATGCTAATAAAGTGAAACGTTTGAGTTGCAGCTTATCAAAAAATCAAGTAGATATTCTGCTTGGCAGAATCAAAGAATGCCTAAATCAGTATAATGTACTGCTACCAAGCTTTTTAACCAATGTTTGGTCGTTCACGGTTTTGTTAAATCCTTCCAAAGGTTTTATGGTAGACAAAAAGATATTTCTACCAAACACGACGTGCCACTTACGATATATGTGCATGGTGGGTGCTACCGCTAGAGCAGGACACGTCCCCCCTTTTCGCGAACACCTGGTGTCATTCTGACTTGTAATCAATATTCCATGCATGTATTTTCCTCTTTACATCGCCACAAATGCCCCAATGAATCTGTTTCGGCAGATACGATAAATGACAGCCCTAAGGCGTTGACGTTTACTATTAAACATCGTTAAGGGCAATCGGGTTCGTTAGTGTTGGTGTTACTGAATGGTGTCAATGCAGTAATGGTTAAAGTAATTTTAGAATCTACCCAAATTTAATACACAAACATTAATGAAAAAATACCAACGTAAAACATCAGATCTAGAGTGAATCAATGTACATTTTGGGAAATGGTTTATGTCTGAAATAGAAACATTCACGAAAGTTTGTGCTCTCATTTATACATGATTAATACAACACAACCATCAATACGAACACGTGCTTCGTGGATGGAGGCAACAAGTTACATCTGGTAGGATCATACAACATATAGATGTATATACATGTAACTTTGTTACACTTTAAGACAGGAATTCGTAGATGTCTTATCGGAGATGCATGTACAGATCTGCTGCTTCTTGAGCATTCGTTGCCGGTTGTAGGTTGTCTCTCCCCATGATGTTAGTACATATTTCATAAACGTCTTCATCACATAGGATTGTTGAGCGAAGCACGGCTTCCTCAAGGCAGGTAGAGACGTCATCGTCGGACACAGCACAGAGTTAATCTTCAGTTTCCCATAGAGCTGGAGCACTGTGCATTTGCTCTGGATGACCACTTGCAACATTGTGTCTGGAGGGCCTAATGCAATGGTTGTCCCACACGGCAGCCACGGAATCCAGATCATCATAAAAATGTTAGTGTTAAACAATTGCTTCAAACCGATTTGTGTGGTGTAGATTAAGACATGAAAACAGCAAAAACGTCTTTTATATTGTATTGACCATTGCAGGTAACATAATTTTTTAGTAAAGAAAATCATAAAATATTTGTCGAAGAAAGTTTGCATGTATGAAGTCGTTACTTTATGTATAAACAGTTCCACTTGCATGACATTATGCAAGTACACCTGAACAATAGCCATGAAACAAAACTGGATGAGGTTTTTGTCCAAGAAATATCCCCTGAAATCCCCATTTTCCTCCAGACCTTTGAACACTTCAATCCAAAACTCTATACATTCCTTTCTGAGAAATGACCACCAGACTTCTATTCTTTGATTTGATGTGCTGGAACCATCAATGAAGCATCGACTGGCTTGTGGATCTGTATTGCCACGTCTTAGATACTGTTGATACTCTCGGGCGTGTACATTTTCTGTACCAAGGTCAGCCATTACAATGCGTGGACAACCTCTGAGCGTCCTAACGGCCTCTAAAAAGTATCCGCCAATTACCTTTGGGTTGTTGTTGGTATTGTAGACCTTGATCCATATTACTTTTCTTGAAAATCCACAAACACAAGCGTGGATACAAAGTCCAAATGTTTTAAGTTTATCATATCCATCTACATGCCACACAAAAGTTGGTCCCTTGGCATAATAGGAACGCTGACGTAGTCGCCGAGCTCTCCTTGACTCAACTCCCACTGGGTCTAGATGACGCAAAATAAGTCGAACGTCTTCCATTCTTTCCTTTAGACCGCTTAGTTGACATTTGGCGTACATGATACGGTAGCCACACAGCTGACCTGAAGCTGATAGTTGATCCTGTATAAAACTCACATCTACGAGAGGCCACACCGAAGACCTGACCTCCCACATGGGTACAGTGTGAAGCCCATCCTGCTATAAACGGCGTAAAACCAAACTCACACTCACTCACTCCACGAGAGGGCTGAATCTACGACGACTCAGATTCATAGTCCTTAGAATTCTCTTAAGGTGCCGCACACTTAGTTTGAATCCATACATGTTATCAATAATGTACACAATATCCTTGTAATTGATTCCAAGATGAAAATAATGGGATAATATTTCACTGCGAAGGTCTTGATTCATAATATACTCATGCCAATAATGGTTGTCACCCCTTCAATTTTTTATTGGAGAGGGTGTGTGGTGTGGGTGGGTGTGTGGGGGTTGGGGTGGGGGGGGGTGACAACCATTATTGGCATGAGTACATGACCAAGTTTGATAAGTAATGGACTGATGAAAAGTCTATCAAAATGGCTGACCAAAACTGCAATTCTATTGGTTAACTTATATCGTGGCCACGACTTATTATCTTGTGGCCACGACTTATTATTGATATTTATTTTCTCATCCGATGTCCCCTCTACGGTTCCGTATCAAACTGTTATCATTTGTTTTTTTTCTGGTAACGTTCGTCTTAACGTAGGGGGGCAGACACATCAAAAGAACAGCCTTGTGCGAGGGTTCTTAATTTAGGTCACCGACACCGTCGTTTGTTTTCTGCCTTAACTTAATCGTAATTATCCTTAGAAAGTATTATATTTGGCATCTTAGAAAAGAACTGCAGTTCGCTCTACCACCATGTATAGAGTAATAAAGCACACTTTCGCCTGAACTATTATAGTTTAAGTACGAGGACGCTTGCGTCCGAGTGCTTTAACGTTATATTAGTTCAGGGCGAAAGTATTCTTAATTCAAGAGCGAATACTGTACAAAAACTATGGTCATAAGGAAGTGCAAATGGTGATGCACTTTCGAAACATTCATTATTATCATATCAACATTGATCGACTCCCAATTGTTTCAATCGTAAATTAAAAATGAAGTTCCCCTACTTTTTTGAAGACTATATTTCATTTCTTTCAACTCTAAAGATCTGAAGTTTCGTTTACACGTATGCATAATCCAGGTGAACATGGCGTCCTAACCAACGTCAAATGACGTTTTGACGTTAATGATGACTGAGTGATGGTGGTGATAATCTTCTTTATTGCCGGACGTCCATGTCTACTCGCCGCACCGCATCTACCCTGAGCGACCCCCCAGGCAGTGTTGGGAGCGAGGACTCATCAGTCAACGACCGCCTGACAAAGAGGTTTGTTTAAACTTATTATCCTACTTGCTGTCGACTGTTCATTGTGTTTATTGTGTTTATTTAATAAATCAGAGGGACTGTTGATCTGATTGCTGCTAAACAATTGTACCGTTGTAAGAGGTATTGTCTTAAACATTATTTATCGTTAGACTTTTAACGCTTGTACAAGTAAAATGAAGGAAAACCAAGTTCTATGGATAGCCAACTTCTTTATTGCAATGAGTGGTCGCACTACCGTGTGCTGTTATTTAGGGGATAACTGTACTGTGTTTGACGAATTGGGGACGTATACCGGTGGTTATATAGCCGCAAATTTAACGTTATATTCTAATTCAACTCGTTTTACGCAGTTTTTTCGTGAAAGAAATTCATTATTTAAACCAGGTCAAAGTTCCTCTAGGTCAAAGGTTAATCATATCACTCCTTGAACTTACACCATCGCCAGAAAAAGTAGTTCCTTTTCAAACAGCACACGTTTATTATGTGCACACAGACTAAATCTAACAATGATAAATAGATCATAATATTATAGATAAAATGGACAGAATTATGATGAAACCGCCCTCTAGTCACAGAAATGAGCGGACCGCTGATTCCTTAACTACGGGCCATTATCAGTTCTGTTGTCAAATGACGTCACAGCAGGTGACGTCACGCTCCACAATGACGTCATAAATCTTGTTTCATGATCTAACAGTGTTGGGTCAACAGCCCGTTTCGAGTAAGTTGTTTGAACATAAAATTAAATTTATGATACTGTTTTGTCTTTTTTAACACAAATTCCACCCATTTTAGCTGGATAGGGGAGTTAATTGACTACGGCTTCTGCAAATGACAATGTCCTGCAAAGCAGCGTTACCCCAATAGTGTAGGGATACATTCAAAGGTTTTGGTGACTCGGTTTTCAAATTGCGACCGTATATGCTGATTATACGGTCGGAAATTTATAGCATTGACCAATCAGAACTCGTGTTACATACTAAGTTGAATTAGAATACAACCTCCTTGGAACAGACTGAATACATCTATGGAATCTTCCTGCAACGCGTAGGCCAGTGCAAGTGTCTCTAGCGAATGTTGACGTTGATGTTCACACCCGTGAAGTTCATCCCACAGATGCTCTATCAGGGTCAGATCTGGAGATCTGGAAAATAATGACAAGATATTGACGTCAGAATTATGAAAGAACAGTGACACGAGATGTGTCTGGTGCAGCCTTGTCATGTTGAAATAACTCCCTCTGTTGTTAAAGCCAAGAAGGTGACGTTGGAGAAGTTGGTTGTTGACCTGATTTTCTATCAGATTTCCCCAAACCTAAACCATGTGCAGGATATGGCTCCCGACACCATCGTATTTCCGCTACCGAGTTTGTCGACGTCCATTTCAATTCGATGTTCTTTCAGAGTTGGCAAGGGACGGCGAGGTAGCCTAGTGGTTAAAGAGTTCGCTTGTCAAGCCGAAGACCCGGATCTTGGTCCCCATATGGGTACAATGTATGAATACAATTTTTGGTGTACCCTGCGTAAAATCAAACTCACTCTCTCAGCGGCACGCTGTCGTCCATTCAAACTTCTCAATACCGTGACATATACCGGTCTTCTTGGTCTAATTCCCAGTTCTTGCAGACAATTCGTGATTGTTTGGTCCGATACCCTCCTCAAACCTACAGTCTCGGTGGCAGAAGCACATCGACGACGTTGATGAAAAACCCGGATGTAGCGGTCGTTTGGTAACTCAGATATTCGACTCTCCGCACTCCAGCCATATTGATAGCGAACACATATGCTGTTCACCAGTTTATATATTTCTTGAGTTGTTCAAGATAAAGTCTAATTAGTCTATTGGTAAAATTATCAATTAATCCCAGTTTTAAACACAGGTTTTAAATACTTTAAACATAAAAAGTGCAGTAATACAAGTAATACATTTATTACAAACACATACCGATTTCAAATTGCAAAGATCAATTGATAGAAAAAATAGTTGAGGAGAGAAGACAGATTATCATTATACCCGTAATTAACCTTTTAGTTCAGTGTCTGTCAATCGACTGTCTGTCAATTGGGAGATGAATAATCTTTTTCGAATAAATCATTTTAACACTACATTATGTACACAGCGCACGATATATTCAGACTATCGCAACATGCATTGAAATTTGCAGAGTGCATTGAGGTCGGCGCATGATACGTTCAGATTGTATATTCACATCAGCATATTTAATATACTTTTACAAAAAGTAGGGGAACTTCATTCTTAATTTACGATTGAAAAAATGGGAGATATATCGGAGTCAATCAATGTTGATATGATAATAATGAATGTTTGAGAGTGCATCACCACTTGCACTTCCTTATGACCATAGTCATAGTGTACACATAATCGCTCTTCAAAGATGATTGGTGTGTGACATGAAATTTGCATGTGTACGATGTTTATTTTCAAAAAGCAAAAACAGAGCTAGAAACAAACACTAACAACTGTGTGATGCAAGATGATTGTCAAAATTAATGGTCGACAGTGATTTATCGACCTTCTTGAAAACCGTCAAAATCAAGAATGACACCCCATGCACGTGTATGGGGCTACTGCGTTGTGCACGTGCATCCCAGGGGTTGTGTTTAGGTAAAAAGAAATGGTGGTGCAATCACCTTTGAAAAGTTTGTTAACGCTTTTGTTTCCTACCCAAAGTTCAGGTTCCCCTACAGTTTTCAAGAGTATATATTCAGATCGGCACAATAATTCAAATTATTGCATTATATATTCAGTTCTGTACATTATATATTCAGTTCTGTACATTATATATTCAGTTCTGTACATTATATACTCAGATATATTTCAGATTTGTACTTATGTATTCAGTATTATATTTAGACCTGACCATTATATATTCAATCTGTACATTGCATATTCGGTTCTGTACATAATATATTCACATCTGTATAGCATATATTCACATCTGTACATTAATTATATTGAGATTAGTGCATTATATATTCAGTTCTGTATATTATATATTCAATTCTGTACATTATATATTCAGATCTGTATAATATATATTCAGATCTGTACATTATATATTCAGATCTGTATATTATATATTCCCATCTGTACATTAATTATATTGAGATTAGTGCATTCTATATTCAGATCTGTACATTATATATTCAGATCATTACATTATACATTCAGATCTGTACATTATACATTCAGATCTGTACATTATATGTTCAGATCATGACATATTATTCAGATCATCACATTATATATTCAGATCTGAACGTTATATGTTCAGACTCATAATATATTCAGATTAGTACATCTTGTATTCAGGACGTTACATTATGTATTCAGATCATCACGTTATACTTTCAGATCAACAAACTATGCATTCATGTAGACGCAGTATGTATTCCCACAGATCGCTGAAGAATGAATGAATTTGCTTCAACGCCGCTTTGTGCAACAGTCATTGAAAAGTATGAGTGAAATAGTTGTCATTTGGATGAAAACGGACTATTGATGAATAGAGTTCTAGGCCCCGTTTCACAAAGCTCTCGTAAGACTAAGATCTCGTAACTTTTCTCGTAGCATTCGTACTTCCTAAACTGTAACATTGACTTACGATAGTCGTAGCGCTACGAGAGCTTTGTGAAACGGGGCCCTGATACTTAAGTCCAAGTATCTGATAACAATACATGAAGAACAGATAGCGCAGTAGCAAGAACATAAACACGCCATGCTGAGAACCCCTGGTTCGATTTTTAGAAGCCATGTTCACAAAGTGGGAGACACATTCTTGTTGTTCCCGAAATGGCTGGAATAATGCATTTATATTATTCAATTACTAATAATTGAATAATGCATTTATACCACTCAGTTACAAATCACTGAATTAGGCATTCATACCATTTAGTTACTAATCACTTAAGAATGCATTTTCACCATTGAATTACTAACAATTGAAGAATGCATTTATATCATTCAATTTCTAATAATTGAATAATGCATTTATACCATTCAATTGCTAATCGCTGAATAAGGCATTCATCTCATTCAGTTACTAATCATTGAAAAATGCATTTACACCATTCAACTAATGACTGAATAATGCATTTACAGTATATCATTCACTACTAATCACAGAAAATTGCGTTATACCATTCAATTTCTAATAATTGAATAATGCATTTATACCATCATTCAGTTACTAATAATTGAACAATGCATTTATACCATTGATTACTAATCATTGAAATTTCAAATATGCCATAGAATTACTAATCATTGAATGATGCATAAATACCATTCAATTACTATTCATTCAAGAATGTCGCAACACCAGATTATTATGATGGACGGCGCTTTCCCTTTTACATTGAAATGTGCTTTTGAATATGTTTAACTTGTTTCTAAAATGACATTAGTGTTAACTAAAATTATGAAATGAATAACTGGAAAAAATTAAAGACTGTCATGTTTTGTATAACGATACGATAAAGTAATTTCCTAAAATACTTGTCTGGAAATATAGCCGTCAAAATGAACATCGTGTTCTCGTTTGTCATGGGAGTTGAAAAGGCGGTCTTGCGCGTTAATACCCAATGATCTTAAATCATGACTTGCCAAATATACTGTCCTCCATTTGCTTTTGTGCACGTGGCTTCAGTTAAGGCATGTTGAGGCAGTGATGAAAGAGCGTCTTGCTTAAGTGTGTAAAAAAGCGTTTGATGATAATATACGTAAGTCATGACAACTAAATAGAATCATCAATTTCTCGATCACCATGGTATCCAATAAAAGAAACACAGCCCGGGGGTATCTCACAAAAACTCTTAGACTGTGGTTGAGTCGGTGTCATCCATTTGAGCTAGGATCGGCTCCCACGAAGTCAGTTCCACCCTTCAGTTCAGTGTGGATCAGCTCGGGAGACTAACAGTACGGCATGACTTCAGGGGATGATTTCGGAAAGCATGTACTCACCGACGGCAAAGACGTCAGGTCGAAGCCGGGTGTGAAGAAGGTGTTGCTGTTTGCTGCCGGAATCCTTGCTGCTGCCTCCGTTGCTGCCATCGTCGTGTTGGCTGCATCCATACTCCACACAAAGGGCGTCTGGAAGGTGAGTGAAATGCCTGAGGTAGTGACGAAAAGATGAAAAAATGGAAAGGATGGGGGTTGGGTTGAACAAGTGAAAAACAATGTGTCAGTGTCCCCGCATACAGGAAAACCACTTCCGTGGCACATCCGCCATTAAAACCCGTGTTTCCTTATAACCGAGTGTATGATTCTGTTGATTAAACGTCGTTCCTTAGGATGCTCATCGTCACATGCTTTTCTGCTCGTATTCAAATCTTTACGGTGTCAAACTTTGTCAGTGGTTTGCTACAGCAGACAGTGGTCAAATCCAAGGGTCCTTAGCTACTTGTTTCGGGATCGTTAAGATATCAGCGTTCGATATCTCGCCAAACACACCGTAACTTTCAAGCAAATTCGTGGTAACCCAGAATCCTTGTCAGAATGTCCTTATATTAAACTGTACATATTTTATTTGAAAATAAATATACAATGTTAAAAAATACCAACCAGCCAAGATGGAGTTGTTTGTGAATCTGATAGAATCTCGATCCTTAGTTTAAATACACGTTAGCTTGGTCGACTGTGTTATTAGTACTAGCCTTTCAAATACCCCGACATTTGCTGCATAAACTACAATATCAGGATAAGAACGATTTTGCATAAATTCATGACGACATATCTGTTTCTTAATTCAAGAGAACTTAATTTTGTAACATCTTCTCGAATGAAATCTGATAAATATTTCGGTGTCAAATTATTAATAAATCATTTTGTAAAACAGCAGCAATTTACAATATTCTCTTTTTTGTGTCATTCTCCCTATATATTAAAACGTCGTTAGTGCCTCTGTTGGTTCCACAGTTCTTGAAGAGCCCGAGTGAAAAGTTTCAAGGATGTTCTCTTGGTCTTTATAACAGCTACACCACATAGTCAAACGTGATTTATTCTTGATGTCAAACACGTTTCTGTTGAATCTGTATTTGAATCCCCTGAAGCCCATTTCTGGTGTACCCCGCCGTGATATTGCTGGAATAGTACTAAAAGTGGCATAAAACTAAACTCACTCACTATTCGAAGCTCCGGTGACATTGAACTTACTTTCTTCATGAGTTCATATACATGACACTACCTATCACAATGTCGTAGTCGTAATCCAAAATGAGTGTGAGTATCGACTTCAGCAACATCAATGCCTTTCAGTTTTAATACCCTTTAGACACGGTTTAGCCTTTGTCTTCTCTGGACTGGAATTGACTTGCCATTTCTGGCCCAATTTGAGATATAATCGGAAGTGCCTGGATGATATACGATAAGGTATACGATGTATTGTCCACAAAGGGACGTATATTACTGCCGATACTATCCGTAATATCACCAACGCATATCATAAATGGTAAGGCCTCTAAGACCCATCCTTGGGGAACTCACGTCTTAACTTATTCTAGATCCGAAACATACACGTCTACTTTCTGTACTTCATGTTTGAGATGGCTGCGGAAAAAGCCAAGTACGCTCCCATGTTGCCGCAAGCTTTTAGTTTTAATAGCATCCCTTTATAACATACTTTATCTCAATTATTGAAATTAAGGTCAGCGTACTGGCATTAAGCCAGATTTTAATGTCGTTAATACCTCATTATCTCTAAAGAAATTAACTTTGAATACCCATTTTTCAAAAACCTTTGCCATACTACTTGTAATGGTCTATAATTTTGAATTCATTTACTTATAATTTTCGTGTACTGGTATCTTTTTAGATACTGAAAAAGTTTGCTTTTAGCTAATGACATAACAAGAGTTGCTGCTTCAATACGTTTTAGATTTCAAGTATTTGCGGAAGTAATTTTCGTTTGTATTATATATTATTCTCGACCTAATCGGAACAACTTTGGTATATAAGTGCCACATGCATTAGTGATGAAGAAGTGAATACTATCTGCTGCTTTGTCAACATCTTGCTCCGTTCAAGACTACATGTTAATCCATCAGTATTTGCTAGGTCATACATATAGTTAAACACTTTCCTTATAGTTGGGCATTATTACACATAGAGAACATATGGGCAATGGACATTACACAAGAGATCAAGAACGCATTAACTTTGAAAAGCACTTATATTTTTAATAAATGTTATGCTGGTTGGTTCGGTTACAAATTCAAAAACAAAGTATACGTGTTTGTTTATTGCATAGTGTATCAGTGGCGATTCTTACTCTGTTTTCAAGCTAAACGTAAGAATCTACACCCAAACGTCGCTGTACGAAATAAATAAGATGCCATCCATCGTGTACTTCTAGATTGCCGATCAAACAATCGGTTGCTTTAGACCACATGCTGCTGATCGTATAATTGATTTGTATATAAATATCGATATTATAATTGTCTACTACTACTAATATGTATAGATAATTATATATAGCGCCAATATCCAGATGTGTCCTGTTCAAAGGCGCTTTCGTACGAGTCTGACAAGGAAAGTCACTCGGAACTGTAATATGATTTGAAAAAGAATGTTTTTAACATTCTCTTAAATCTACAGATTTCCTCTGCGCTTTTAATGCCCAATGGGATGTTGTTTCAAAGCATAGGACCTGCTTTTGAAAACATCTGTCTCAACTACTATTGTTTCCATTTCTACGCCAATGCCATCTCCAACTGATTGATAAAATCGTCTCCAATATTTACCATTTCTGTCTGAGCTATTCATATTGCCATCAAACCTGCCCCAATATCGCTTCTAAACCTATTTTGCTTAATTTGTTCATACATTCTCCATACGAATTATTCTAAATATATACTGCCACAGCACCAACTCAGGTTATCGATCTTTCCTAAAAGGCAGCTAAAAAACGGGTATTTTAATTTCACAGTTTTCGATACATTCATGTGGCAGCTTTAGTTAAGCAGATAATATTGGAATAAGAAGGTTGAGGTTGGACTGTCTACCTTCCTTTGTGACAACCGACGCTAAAATAAATTAAAATTAAGTTAGAACCGTGTCCGGCTCCTGGTTTAGGATGTACGTTTCTTCACCATATATGGATCAGAGCACTACCTCCGAGGCCTGTATAAGCATTATGTTGTCAATGTCCACGCTCTGTTTACCAACAAATGCCTTCTGCAAAGTAATTTCAAATAAACCCACCGTCAGCCTATTTTCCTCAATATCACCCAGCATCGTCCGAGGCAGATTGTGATATCAGTGTAACAATACGGCTGACAATATGGTACAATGAGATATTGGAAACTTAGGCTGTTGCTTATCATATATGGTCCCCGAAAATTTTCAAAAAGGTAAAGTAATTAAGAAATTGAATGAAAGAAAAATACAAATTACGAAAGAAAGAAAACTTTTCGAATATCATGTCGGTGCTTTTGTGATCATGTCTGTTTCTACTCAACAGATCATAGTTTTTCCATAGTAGATGATACGTTCCACTTAACGGAATATAGTTGTCCCATAGTAGAAAATACGTTCTACCTGGCAGAATATAGTTGTTTCACAGTATGTATTACGATCTACGTAACAGAATATAGTTGTTTCACAGTATGTATTACGATCTACGTAACAGAATATAGTTGTTCCGTAGTAGATAATACGTTCAGATAACAAAATATAGCTGTTTCAAAGTAGATCATATGTTCTACTCAACAGATAATAATTGTTCCATAGTACATGATACGTTTTACTTAACAAACTATAGTTTCCTAGTGGATTGGATAATACGTTCTAGTAGAGTATACTCGTTTGATAGTAGATGATACGTTCTGCTAACAGGGTATAGTTGTTTCCTAGTAGATAATACGTTATACGTAACGGATTATAGTTTTTTGATAGAAGACGATACGTTTTGCTAAACGGACTATAGTTGTTTCATAAAAGACGATAAACGTTTTGCTCAGATCATGTTTGTTTCATAGTAGATGATTATAGTTGTTAGAATGACTGACTGAGTTTGGTTTTACGCCGCTTTTAGCAATATTCTACCCCACCGCGCAGATTATACTTTGTACTTTGAAATTATAGTTGTTTGCAATTGATAGTAGATAATGCAGTGTACTCGACAGAACAGAGCTGTTCCACAATAGATATTACGTTTTAGTCAGCAGATTATTGTATCATATCAAGTAAATTTGGTTAAATAGTGTTCACACTTTGCTAAGGATCAAATCATTGATTCAACAGAAAACTATGATGTGGGGTCAAATTTGGTTTAAATATCTTAGCCTATTGTAAGCATGGATCCATGGTTTCAGTATGTCACTGCATCTTCTGGATCCCATACCTGCTATTGACAGGTGTTGTGTACTTGTCAATGACCCGTGCCATGATTTGCAAAATGGTTTGTTAGTGACATGGAAACCATTTTTATGGTTACTCATGTATCAAGTGCCTACGATTAGCTAAAAGTGGCTGTTTTCCTAAAGATGTGTTACCATATCATTAACTCACTTTTAAATGGATACAATTTTAAATTATAAATCTTCCTTTATGTAAAGTTGCGAATTTTTGTGATCCTTGGCAAAGTTTGAGTAGTATATAATCTACGGAGACAATATTTCTTTACAATTGTGGCACTAGTGCGCTTACATAGATAATAAAGGTGATAAGTTTACCCCGGACTGAGTGGTGATGACTGTGATGACAAGCATGAAATGCTCTACACTTACTAACCTCAATAACAGCGTTCTTATATGGCATATTTTGACAACCCATGTAGCTGATGCTTGCTTTTATTGGTACTGAATATAATGATTGAATAGACAAGGAAAAGACACCAAGACGTATGTTTTATATTGATCATGTGATTGGCTGTTGCTAACGGTAGGACATGTAACGTTTAGCCTTTTCGCACCGGATGTCATGACTGAATTTCAGTTACGATGTCATTATATTAGTCGCTGAATGGATTCTGTTTCATCAGATAATCGAGACTGGTTATTCTCAGGGGTTGAAGTTTGATATTATTTGCTGTAGTGCTAGAATATGCGAGAGAAATAATTACTTATTCCGTTTGTATCCTCGGGTCCATTCGGCTTCATCCGCTACCTCCGTAATGCTTCGGGCAGCAATAGGGTTGTCATATTGCATGAATTCACTAACGTCAGATTCCGCCGCAATATAGTTCGTATAGGGCAACACTATTCTTAATTCAATGTTTTCTATGATTTATAGTGATAATTTTACGCTAATTAGGAGATAAACATACTGAGTTGGAAAATCAGAGGTATATAACGAATTATTCTCTAAATTTGATTTAATACCGAACGCGTAGCGTGAGGTTTTAAATGTCTCCATTCTACCATGACTTGTTATTAAGATTTTGCAAAATAACGATTATAACCTAATGACTTTGATTAACACACATGCCAGCATTTACTGAAGTCATGGTAGAATTCTATTTGAAGAATAAAGCAAATGTCTTGCCGATTTAACTACGCACTAGCATGTGAACGAAACTACATATGGATTATTGAAGGTGTTGGTTGAGGTTCCACTGGACAAAGATAAGCAAAGTCTTTAAATTTGTTGGAACAATCACAAGATAATACATGTCCATGTTATGAAATATACACATGAAAAAGTCCCATTTATTCACAGCACAATTTCAACAATTACAATAAAAGGGTGCAGACAATTTCCAGATTCATAATAAAAAGTCTATACTAAAAGCACACTCCATTGTACTGTTTCAACTTTTAGAAACGCGCATTTGTAATATTTACTCAGTATTTCTAAAGGTCTTAGCAGATGTGATGATAAATTGTAACCCACTCATTCATTAAACGTCTTGAAAACCTGCGTGTTGTTAGTGACGCTCTGTAATAAACAATTTCATATGTGTTGGGAAAGTTGGAAATTTTAGCAGTAATACCCACATGGACAGTTTGTCAGCGATGTTTCCAAAATTTGGAAAAGAGCTTCAGTTCCAGAATTATTAACCCAAACACGGCATTGTTGAAACTCATTACGTTTTTAATCCTTTCTTGTTGAACCAACAGAAACTAAACAACTAAAACAATAGATATTCTATACAAAAATTCCTCGTGCCATACGTCGACATTTAATTATAATCCTTATATGCTGAACAAATGTGTAAGCAATCAAGAATAACTTCAAAATATATCCCCCAAACATTTATTAATCCAAGTTGTAACCTTTTTATTCAACCGAATTTCAAAGGTCAGTTAACGCTGTTATTGTGATATTTAGTATACCTTTTACGGGTTGTATGCATGCGTGTAAGGTGGGGCGGTGGGTTAGCCTAGTAGTTAAAGCGTTCGCTCGTCACGCCGAAGACCGGGTTCGATTCCCCAGATGAGCACAATGTGTGAAGCCCATTTCTGGTGTCCCCCGCCGTGATATTGCTGGAATATTGCTAAAACCGGCGTAAAACTAAACTCACTCACTCACTCACTCACTCGCATGTAAGTAAATATTCTGACAATGATATTCTCATTATTATTAACCAGATTCAATGACAGACTATAATTTGCAGTATGATTAATCGGTTTTATAAAATCATGTTTATCTATAAATATCTTGTTTTGTTCGCGAGGACGAGGTGGCCTCATCTGGGTCTTTGTGTAACGCCTTCAGCGACGTTTGATGAATGACATGGTCGGGACGTATTGGCGTAGACCATCAGACTGGAGTCACCGTAATCATCACGTACGCTATCTAAGCCTTGATAGAAAGGATCAGTCACTTGCTCTGACAAACTGGATTATGTTTCATTTGATAGAATACGTGACGATCAGATTTATTCTCTATAACATTAAAGATTGACGTACGTGACGATCAGATTTATTCTGATTTATATACCATTAAAGATACCGGAAGGTAATGATAGCTTGGTTTGACGGGATTGGCACCTGGGTGTGTTGCCAGTGCGACACTTGACTGAGTTCTGCCGATTGTCACTATAACGGATGGTCGCATTCGTAACTATTTGTGTCATTCCTGCAAACCGAATGGCGACTCGTACTCCTCTCGTGGCCATGTTCACGACTGGACTTTGTCTAAGCGCCAAATAGTCTAGTACTATTTCCAAGGAAAGATAACTTTGAATTTTCAAACATGGCTACTCCTAGAATATCCCATACCTCGTGGGCTAAAGAGCTATACAGCCATTTCCTTTGTAAAGGTGTTTCAGTGTTGAAAGTTGCTGATCCTTTAGCTCAAGGTTTAGGTTTAAATTGTGTTTTGCAGGGTTTAGCGAAGTTTGAAAGTTCGATTTCATGCTTCGAAATGTGTTTTACTTGGCGCGATTTGATTGGTTTGCCACGGTTCTTGGCGATAGAGGCGTACTATACAGGTTCGAGTTATCTTGTAGGTCACGGAAAGAGGCGAGTAGTTGCCATAAGGGAAGGTCGATTTGACATGGTTTGACTGGGCTTCTGTCTGTCAAGACTACGCTGGACGATGTCTTTTAGGCTATGATGGCTTTCATTTATCCTCGACACAAGTCAATGGAGGACGACGTGAAACACCCATTCTCTACTAAGTGGGAAGATTTTGTTTTTTGTCTTTCCAATGACGATATTGTAAATATCCATAGACTAAAAATGGCTTTTAGCAATATTCCAGCAACATCACGGCAGGGGACACCAGAAATGGGCTTCACACATTGTGCCCATGTGGGAATTCGAACCCGGGTCTTCGGCGTGACGAGCCAACGCTTTAACCATTAAGCTACACCACCGCCCAGGTTTGGTTTGAGCTGAAACAACATTACTTTAATGACAAATAAACACAAAAGTCTAAGTTATCTGACTTTTAAATGCCCACATTTGGCAGGTAGTGTACAAAAGCATTCTTCATTTGTAGTATATATACGCATGCCAATAATGGTTGTCACCCCCTTCAATTTTTTATTGGAGAGGGTGTGTCGGGTGTGGGTGTGGGGAGGGGGGGTGACAACCATTATTGGCATGATTATATAATAGAAACCTGTCATCACATAACAAAGTCAGTTGACTTCAAAACATTATTTGTTTTTACTATAGATGAAATAAATGTCCAACAAATTTACATCAGATACGTTAAGCATTTTGGCAGACATAGTGAAAGTATTAGAATGTACCCCCTAACAGTATAAGTGTACAAGGTGTTCGAGCTAATCTTGAAAGTCAAGCAACTGAAATCTGTTTCCAATTTGCTACTTTCACTTTGTCGTGGTAATTGCAAACGCAAACGATTAAAGGCATGTGACATTCAATTTTCATCAGATACGTTAACTAAACCTAGTTAAATACACACTAACCATTGCAATGATTGTAGGGTTTAGGGTCTCATGCCGTCATGGAGGACAGTATCAAATACTTATCAAAACAATTCATACTTGCCTCAATCATCCCCAGTATATAAAACATGACCTGACGTTTACGTTAGTGGTCATCAGATACGTTAACCACAAACCAGGGTGACTTTATTTTTACTCGGATGACATCGGCATATACATGATAATCTTTACTTTCCACTCAGAATTATTCGTGTATTCGTGTATTTACGTGTATTTCCGGTTTGAGCACATGGTTGGAACTTGGAGCCATTGTGTGTGTAGACTGGGGAGAGATATCGCCTGTTCTCTAGTGAATATTCTAGGAAATATGAACTGTTCTTATCGGACCAGCTAGGTAGTTGTTTGTATACATTTATAATCGTATTTTCATTGAATGTGCCTTAGAAAGCCTTAGACTGAACCATCTCTGTGACAAACGCTGACAAAAATGTTTAACGTAGCCTACTGTATATTAACGTATTGGATGTAATTTGGTATTATTCATTTGTTTGTTAGATCATGTTTATAAAACATTTACATTTATCAATGAGTGCTATTGTGGTCATAAATTAAACGGTGATTAATGTAACTCTTGACAAGTAAGCGAAACTCTATTCCACGTATCTGATAACACTGTTCTACGTATCTGATAATGCTGTTAACGTATCTGATGATGATCTCTTTGTTTTATGTTTTGGTGAAATAATGGTTGTATATGGTTACATTGTCCAGTCGCATTACACTGTTAATGGTTGTTTGAGTCAATATTGTGTTAAGGTAGTATCCGACAATAAATTTTGAGTTGATTTCGTTGTTTTAAAGTGTTTTAAACAGTGAGAGATGTCCATCAGATACGTTAAACATGCATCGCAGGTGTAAACATGTGTCGCAGGTGGAAAGGACATCTATTTTCATAATATGTATTTTGTTCCAAATAGTTGTGTTATCTCATGGAAACATGTTTGAAGGCATTTTGAATAATACACTAATACAATACAATGCCAATGACAATTACATCGGATACCTTAACTTTTGAATCAATTTCATATTTTCATGTTCCTGAAATCCGCAATTAGAAGCAGTGATTTTACTTAGTCCACCATTAAGAGAATACCTTCCACTATCTTTGCATCAAAATCGCACCTTACGTCCGGGGACAGTCAATTTGTGATTTAGAACAACAAATACCTATACAATTCTTAACTGGTCTGAAATGTTATGTCTTCTTCATATTTACCGTACATCACGAACTTTTTCAATCCTAGACATGATGTGTGGTGAAATATGATTAAATACATTCACGAACTCAACACCATTGCTTAAAAGAACGTATTGTTTAAATGTTCAAACCAGTATTTTTTCGTAATTAAGGTACCATGTTAACGTATCTGATTCTCTGAAATTTGATATACATTATTTAAGGCATTGCTTAAAATAGTCTAAGTCAGATTTGGGTAATCAAGTTATTGTTCCAGACAACTCGTGTCTTCTTCTAGGCAAAACGTTATGAAGCGAATAATATTCGGAAGAAAATGTTTGAAATGTTACAAAGCCACTTAGTGGAGAAAGGGTGGAAAGCTGAAGTAAAGTTGGTCCCGCTACAGTAACATCAACACGGTAGAGTGTGATTATTTTTATCACCGAGATTTGTTTTCCTAGTGAGGACGAGTCTCGATATTTATCTACATTTGCATTTTAATGATGACAAGAAACAGATGGTATTCCATTTTTGTCCTTCAGTTTAGGATGTTGGTGGAACCAGATTAGATGGACACCACTTTAACGATGAATGTGGGTACTGACTGGTTTTGACTAGCGTCAACGACTCATTAACGTTCATTTTAGAGTATGATGGAATTTCGCCGACATAAATTAGCCGAACTGGCTTTGAAGTTCTATCAATTCTTCAAACTATAGGCAAAAAACACAACAACAACAAAAAAAAACTCACAAAAAAACAAATAACAACCCCCAAAACCAACCAACAACCCCCCCCAAAAAAAACAACCCAAAACCCCAGGTTCCATGAAAAGACAGATTCCGAACAAAAAAAAAAAGAACCTTTACGCAAATTGAGGAACCCTTTCGCCTCAATTCAATCAAATGGTATCAATGCATGTCAACTATAGGCCCCCAATGGCGCTGTCTTCGTACGTAATGACCACCCATTAATGACTGTTTGTCAAATAAAATGCCCTACATAGGTGAGTGATTGCCTTTGAAAGCAACCTACCGTGCCTTTAATGAAACCCCGAGAACACGTGAGTGAGTAAGTGAGTGAGTGAGCATTCACAGTGGGCCTTACACATTGTACCAATCCCGGGAATTGAACCCATGTCTTTGGTGAGACGAAGTTTAATCTTCCCCCAAAGACGAAAAACTGGTCCCAGGTGAACTAACTAGGCCTACTCCATCTTATTCCGACTGTAATTTGCTTATATACAGATGTTTGACAACAAAGACTATTTGAACAAAGCTTGTTCATTTATGTAACTTAAATATCTACATATTGATTTAGTTATTGTATTATTGTTATTGCAAACATGTTGATGAAATAATGGATTAAGACCATAAAAAGTATCTAAATTGTTAAAATGTTCTTGCAGATTTGTAATAACAACGTGTGTCATATTATGATTTGAAAAGAAGAAAAAAAATCAATAATCTGAAACACGGAATTTGTTTGTAAAATTATTCTCTAATTTTAATATTGACAGCATTCTTCTGATTTTTCTTTCCCAGGAAGATGATATCATCGGTTACGACATACTTGGTGCATCTGACAAGGCTTCCGTCGGTAAACTCGACTTCCTGACTAGTGATGGGCATGCGCATGAGGAACTGTATCTCAATGACGTCACACAAGAACAGACGATAAAGGTCTCACATCCTCATTACGACATATTCGTCCTCAAGAAATACAAAGAGGTAATATGTGTGTGGTAGACATTGAAACTTTAATTCTGCTTTATATATTGTTTGTTAAACTTATCTATGACTATTTTAAAGAACCAAATTCATGCGAATGCTTATAAAAGATTCGAAGTGATGGTATTGAGGATGATGTAAAAATACGATAGCGACAAGGGAGATTAAATAAAAAACTTTTGATACAAACATACATACACATGCATGCGTGCGTGTGTGTTTATGTGTGCCTGTGTGTGTTATGCTTGAAGTGTCCAGATAGGTCGATAACAAACTTATTTCACTGTGTATAAGGGTTTCCCTTTTTTTGATCGAAGTACGCCTCCTTCCTGCTAACGGTACATAACCCACGTGTCCTTGCCGTGAGTGTGAAGCCCATTTCTGGTGTCCCCCGCCGTGATGTTGCTGGAATATTGCTAAAATGCGGCGTAAAACCAAACTCAGTCAGTCAGTCCTTGATGTGACGGTGATGGATCTGTACCTGGTGTCTATCACAGAATAGTCACAAATAGATTCTATTCTAAAAAAAGAACTGATTTTACGATAAGAACAGTACTACTAATTGAATGTAATATATATCGCTGTCAGCTATAACTGACTAATTTTATCCCGATATTGTCGCGTCTAGGAACACAAACTCGACCGATCCACATTTTAATCGGATATCTTTTGTTGTACGGGTGAGTGAGGGACATAATGGGTGAGTGAGCGAGTTAATGAGTGAGTGAGTGAGCATTTACAAAATTGAGATATTTGAAAGTGTGGGCCGGATGACGTCACAGATGACCGTTGGGTCACGGCATGAATGCACAAGCGTGATCATGAAAATAAACAAAATATGTGTCGATTCGATGTTAAAACGGTGCCATTTTAGGGTGTGTAGTAAATAGATTACTTCGCTGGTGCCTGTGAGATAACATTTATCCTGTATCAAGACATAAGTAACGACCAAAGGCAAGCTAGATACGTTCCGAAGCAACACGTTTTAAGATAGATGGTATCTGACAGACACGAATGAAGTCATTCTTACACGCCGTTTTAGTGTCGAATCGACATAATGGTCATGATCACAGTTGTGCATTAATGACGTGACACAAAGGTCATCTGTGACGTCATCCGGCCCAATGCTAACCATTTACATCTGGGATGAACATTCTTTAAAGTCCGTTTGGCTCAAAAGCGGACCGATGAATTGCAATCTGACTCGAAAACTAATAAAGATAAAATACTTAATGAAACACTGATCATAATCAAAACGTCAGACCAACTCTGTGAGGTTTTTGCAAAATTTATGTCCTAAAAAAAGAAAAGTTGTTTAACAAACTATCGTTAAAATATTGACACAGTTCACTATTTGTTACGAGGGAGGAGTGCAGAGAAAGGGACAGCCAGTTTTGCGAGAAAGGATGGAGACAGCACAGCACAGTTTAATGAATCAATAACTTCGTCGGCACTTGTGCACGTCCTTCTCTAACACCTGGCTGTCCCTCCCTTTCTCTGCACTCCTCCCTCGTAACAAATAGTGAACTGTGTCAATATTTTAATATTTTAATTTTTGAGCCAAACGGACTATAATATTCCCACTTTCCTGGGAATGTGATTAATCCCAATGAATCATTAGTTCTTATTGATTCTGGATACCATTTATTGATACTATACTAACAACTTTTTTAATTTAAGGACATAAATTCTGCAAACAAATCACAGAGTTGGTCTGATGTTTTGATTATGATCAGCGTTTCATTGAGTATTATATGTTTATTAGTTTTCGAGTTAACTTGCAATTCATCGGTCCGCTTTCGAGCCAAACGCACTGTAGTTTCCGTCATACATGATGATGATAATGAAAACTAGATATAACACCAGAACAATTATTATTATTATTATTATTACTCAAAAGAAGCACTACTCATTTAACAATAAACTCAGAGCAAACAAAGTGTCACAATCTGACCTTAGGTCATCATCATGGAGGAACCAATCACGGACCTGGATTTCCATTTCACACTTATGATAGATACCTGTGTCTCACCAACAGTTGTGTAAAAAACACTCACTCACTCATAGAGTGTTTCTATGACCGAGTTAATCCCTGGCGTTCACGATGTGTTATATATTTAGTCTCCTGTCAATCGTTTGTCTCCCCCTAGGGTCGAGAGATGCTGCTGATCACCTCTAAGCCTGCGGCGGGAAGACCGCGACGAGTCATTGAGTGTCAAGACTCCTACATGAACGACACCGACTTCGTCCCGTCGTCGTCAATGGTGGTAAGTGATGGGATAATCACCTCTTCAGACAGGATGAGACTTGAGACTCGGTTCTGTTAGCCGACCTGTCCTGCTTAATGTCATATGTGTTACTTATATGGCTGTTTGTAATCGTATTGATCTTATAAAGCTGCTCTACCTACCTACACTTACTACCTAATAACCGACCTATTACCTATCTACCTTGATAGACAACCGCCTCCGTGGTGTAGTGGTAAGAGCGTCCGCCCGGAGAGCGGAAGGTCGCGGGTTCGATCCCCGACCGCGTCATACCAAAAGACGTTAAAATATGGTACTTGTTGGCCTGGCGCTCGGCATTAATGGGTACATCAAGGACTGGTCGGCTCGGAGTCAGTATAATGTGTCTGAGTGGGGTATTCCTGCTTCACTGCGGCATGGTATCTCAGTGGGCTAGCACTATAAAACCAGCTTAAGTCTGGGCTAGTACAAGCAGCCGCACCTACACATACACACGCATGCACGTCGTCATATGAGCGAAATATTCTCAAGCACGACGTTAAACCCAATTCCACCACCGACTAATAACCGACCTATTACCTATCTACCTTGATAGACATATTTGTTTGGTGCATGCTTATTTTTCAAAAGGGGCGTTGGGGAGCCTAAAGGTTAAAGCGATCGCTCGTCACGCCGAGGACCCGGGTTCGATTCCCCACATGGGAACAATGTATGAGGCCCATTTGTGATGCCATATAGCTGGAATATTGCTAAAAGCGGGCTAAAAACATACTCACTCACTTTTAAAATGATTCTCTCTCTCTCTCTCTCTCTCTCTCTCTCTCTCTCTCTCTCTCTCTCTCTCTCTCTCTCTCTCTCTCTCTCTCTCTCTCTCACTCTCTCTCTCTCTCTCTCACTCTCTCTCACTCTCTCTCTCTCACTCTCTCTCTCTCTCTCTCTCTCTCTCTCTCTCTCTCTCTCTCTCACTCTCTATCTCACTTTCTCTCTCTCAAACTCTCTCTCACCCTCTCTCTCCCTCTCTCTCTCTCTCTCTCTCTCTCTCTCTCTTCTATTTATGTTCTTCTCATCCAAGGACGAGTCGCTGGTAAAGAACCCGGATGTGACCATTGAACACCCTTTCGAGCGGACCTGCAAACCAATAACGCTTGTGTACAAGTCATGTGACCTGATACCAAAGGAACTTTATCAGCAAGAAGGTAATAAACACAATAAAAATAATAACAAAAACACTAAAATACTAAAAATCTAAAACTGACCCAGTGTGCCACCAACGTCTTAAAACATACAGCCAAACCATGTTACATCGTAAACCATTTCTCACCCGCGAAGATTCGGGTCGGAATTGGTCTTCAGTAAATGACCTAACATGAATTTGACAAACCAGTGACTGATATTATGAGCAACAGATAGCTATATCGGTAAGTTCGAGATAACGGATCTCGAAATGATGGAGTGTGTCTATTAGTGGTGGTCCGATTAATTGAAATAATCGAAGATTGGTCGCAGTGACTAAACGACTAAGCAATCGATCATGTTTTCTCATAATCGAACACAAACAATTCTGGAACACTTGTTTTCATAAACAACATTTTTCACAAGGTTGGTTTTGTCTGTTACATTTCATAAGCACTACAAGCTCGTTTGGTCATGATTGAATTTATCGTAAAGACTCCAAGAAATTTATGTTCCTGACATACTAGTCATC